GTGATTTCACTATTTAAAAAGTGACTTGAGGGAGTCAGCAGATGGTGTGGCGGTTAAGGCACTAGACTTCCACCAGGCTGACCACAGTTCAAGTCCTGGACCTAATGGCTTGAAAAATCATGCCAGGCACATGTACATGCATACATACCTAAAATCCCGAGAGGAGACTGGGGGAGACAGGACTGCAGCATGGCTATCTCCCTTGGAGGAGTGAATCTACTTTCCTTCTCTCTGACTCTCTCTCCAGTGAGCACATGCACCCTACAGCAAAAACCTTAAAACATAACAAAACAAAACACCCTTGATGAGTCCTAAAAAACATCAGGACTCTCTATTTTAGCTTTCTCTCTATAGGCCAACTTGAAATCAAATTTGTGGCTTTAAACTACTTCCTTTAATACAATGTGAAATTAAGTTCTGTCACTATCTGAGGAATAATCAGCTATCAGAAAAATCTGCTGTTCAAATTTTCTTCTTTTTCTTCTATTGTAAGTTAAAATTTATTGAACAATTACTAAGTGCTAGTCACTATCCTAACTGCTATGTTTTTAAGTCATTTAAACATATCAAAACTTTTTTTTTAAGAGAGATTTTTGCTATAGGGTGCATATGCTCCCTGAAGAAACAGAAAGACAGAAAATGAGAGATCATTCCCCAGGGGGGATGGCCACACTGCAGTCACTTCTCCTCTATTCTCCTTTCAGGATTTTGGGCATGCATGCACACATGCACACTGTGATTCTGAAGCTGCCAGGTCTGGGACTTGAATTGCAGTTGCCTACGTGGGAGTCCAGCAATGTAACCATTACGCCACCTGCTGTTCCCAAACATCACAAAACTCTCTAATAAAGTCTGTATGTTACTTTGGGATAATATCTATCTATAAAATAGGACATAGAGGTGATATATTTTAAACGTTACTTTATGCTAGCTCACGATATCTGTGTTTATATCTGCAAATATACTATAGTTTTGATGGCATAGTAGTTAAGAGTTAGGATTCTGAAACCAGACTGCCAAGGTTCAAATCCTGGCTGCACTCACTTGTTACTGTCTATCTGACACTTAGACAAGTTACTTCTCTGTGCCTCTGCTGTGAAAATCTAATTATCAGATTAAAGGCACTCAGAATAGAGCATAATACACAGCTACACATACGAGGTTTAGCTTTTAAAAATATTTTATATATCACATGAGCTGACTTAACGATTCTGCAACTTGGATTTTTTATTCATTCAACAAATGGCTTGAAAAATGATCCATGCTGGGACCAGCAGATGGTGTACTGGTTATGTTGCTGGACCCCTCGATCTGGCAGCTTGAGACTCACGCTGGGCATGCATGACAAAAGTCATGAGAGGAGAATGGAGGAGAAGGGATTAAGGCATGGCCAAACCCTCAGGGTGTGATTTCTCACTTTCTATCTCTTTCTATCTTTCCTGCAAACTCATATTTGATACTCCTGTAGCAAAAAAAAAAAAAAAAAAAAAAAAACTCTTTAAAAAAAAA